GTGAATAAGACACCAACTAAAAGACAAACTTAAAACATATTACCACAATTATTGTTAATAACAACAATTTTTTAGGGTTTAGGTCGAAACGTTAGGCCTGAGTTAGGCCAGCAAAGAGATTGCCTTTATTAACACAGAGCCTTCCTCTGCTTCTCTCCAGGACAGCCTGTTTTGTGTGGTAGCTGCGTTTGGCTGTTTCTACTATTGAAGATGGCAAAGATTGCACAAAAGGACTGGGGGAGAGGAAGAGGGAGATTTTAGGTTGTTTTTTGTTAGCATACTGTAAAGAATCAGGTCCTTCCTTTTTTTAGAATAACAAAGTACAGCTTTGCAAAACACATCCTACATCTGTTACACTACAACATCCCTTCTTCCTTGATATGAATATAGCTTTAAACAGAGTATTGTTATATCCTTTATTTAAATCACCCTTTGTTTTGTATAAAGTCAACTGGTTTTGTTCCAGAAAAACACGCTGCTAATAACCATTCTTTCTAAGATAAACTCAGCACTCAGCTTTTGTCTTGAAAGTGTTCCATTGCTTTTTTTGTTGTTGTTGTTAATTTCCTGAGGTAAATTAAATATTTCTAATAAATGTAACATAATAAATATGTGTTTTTGCCTTTTGTTTTTTTTTTTTTTTTTTTTTACCCTCGCCACTCCTACTGTTTGCCCCCTTTTCTTCCACTCTACCAAATGCTCACATGTGCTTCTCAGTTAACCAGAATGTAAGGTCAGCTTTATCCATTAGTTTACAAGGAATCCTCAGGAAATGGTTATCCAAATTTGCTCCCATAGCTCCTTTAAGAAGCGGGATGTCAATCCCAGCAAAGCGTCACTAGAGATTATTTTAGTTCATAGAATGAGAGAGTATTTGTAACGGTAGGGCAGTGGCCTGCCCACCCCGAGTGCCAACACTCCTCTTGGTTGTAGCTCCCCTCGGGGTCACTGCTCTCTGGCACCTGTTGACACTGCGAGTGATCAGTCCCATTGCCAAGTTCAGTACATAGTGCTCAGTCTTTGCCTCTATGCAGCTATTTGGGTTGCTCGATGTCCAAATCTGCTAGAGCTCTGGCCTTGAAAGGGCTGTTTTGCTCCTGTGAATCAGGAAAGGAGCGTTGGTCTCATTGGGCCAGGAGAACCCTGTTCCTGAGAGGGTGAGGTGCCCCCAGAACACGTGTTCGGAGGGGATGAGTTGTTCTGTGGTGTGCCAGCTCTGTCTCTTTGCTATCTGAGAAGGTAGAGGGACAGTTTCACCTGGACTTCCAGACTGCTGAAGCTGGGTGAGATGAATTCCGAATGCTCCTCTCACCAAGTGTTGTGGCAGGACACTATCCGTGCAGCTCTTAGAAAACTCAGAAATAACAAATTGTGATTTATCCTTTGGAATCATTCTCTTGCCTACAGTCCTGGAAATAGCACATTCCCCTGCCTGTAACGTGTGTCTTTGAAAACATGCTCCTCATGCCATAGTGGTAGTGACTCCCCAGGCCGTTCTGCGCGGCTGCCGCGAGCCAAGGAGGCTGCAGCGGGGATGGAGGGCGCTGTTGGGGCTCGGGGTTGGCGGGGGGTTTGGCGAGCGGCAGAACAAGCCAATAAGAACATTTACCAAGAAGTGACAAGTAGCGCCAGACTTGTGTGCCGATAACCTGCTATCAAGCGACAGCGATGCATCGTGATGTTCGCCTTCCCCCCGTCCTGGGAGGAAGCAGGGGGAACGGGGGGCTCCGCGAAGACCTTTCTAGCAGGCCGCTCTCCCTGCTGCGGGACCGAACCGCGGCCAGCCCGCCCCGCAGCTCTGCGGCCGGGCTTCCCGCG